GCAGGATACCCTCTAGGTGATAGTTCTTGATTACTTTTTGATAAATAATTCGTACTTATTGCGAAATAGGAGCACTATTTATCAATCTGTAATAAAAGACGTTAGGAAATTCAGTCTTTTTTAAAGACAAAAATTTTTGAGGCAAAATACCCAAAAAGAAGTTTGTAAAAAAATGAAAAATAGTGTTTTATTTTTGCCACCATCTATTGACCGAAAAACCCACAGACCAAAATAGGCATCTTTTACTGATTATCATCAGGGTTACTAAAGTTAAGTTTAAAGTTGATTCCAAATAAACTGTGTATCTTCCAAACAAACTGGAGCATTGTAATCCTTTATCTATTATTTCTAGCTAATTTTATTTGAAGTCCCAACTCTTCTGCTGTCTTCGCATTTTCGACGAATACATTAACGTAATTTGCAACTTCCGAACCCACAACAAACAGCCCAAGCAGACAAATAAACGAAAACTGAGCTGATATTCGCATATAAAATTTCACGAGTGTTGGTATCAATTTGAGACAAACAAACCGTCACTTTGTGCATAACAAAAACAGGGAAAAAATCACATTACGCCAGTGTAACTGAACACGCCCATGCAGATGAGGCGAAATGGCCATAATAAGACATAAACGTGGCCTTAAAGCACCATGGGGAGCGATCGTTTGTTTAAAGTCCCTCCATTTTTATTAAATTAGTGTTCCGCGACTTAACACGATCAAATTTTAATTAGATGATGTCACTCGAGCCGGATGAACGCGAATTTGTTTGATTTATTACCAGTCTTCACTTCCCATATGGAAATAGAGCGAACTTGGTTCTGGCCATTTGATTTTAGTGAAGTCTGTAAAGTCGTTAGTTTCTCGGATGTTGTCAATTTCTGCCGAAGTAACGATTCCACAGGCAGTAAAATTTTATTATTGCACTCGAAGGCAAATAAGAGAAGAGATTCTTGCAGGTGCAGGTTTTATCTCTAATGCCAGTCCTAATCAACATAACTGATTGAGGGAGAAGCTGCGAAAATAAGCGCGTTTTCCCGGACTTCTTAATCAGCAGAAACCCACCGGAGATTTTATCAAGTGCGCGATTCTGATTATCTTATTTCGGAGAAACTCGTCAACTACTAGCAGTTATATGCGCCATTTGATATCAAGTATTTGCCAGTTATTGGCTTCGTTTCGGCATTATGTGAACGGGCTGAAACTGCGCCCGAAGTCAGCTACGGAAGCTGCAGCCAAGTCTCGAGTTTAGAATTTCCGAAAATTAATCATCGGATTTATGAATACTCAACTCGAAAAGATATTGCGAAAGTTTCAAGCGAACTGCTCCATGTAATTTCAGCGGGTTATTAATGTGCCTTGCATTGAAATCAGTCAAATCACTTTGGTAATGGGTTTTTACTGTTATTTGAACAAACTCAGCTATCCTGGATGGCTTGAGGAAGTTTAGCCTGCAAATGCCACATAAGGATGCAAATCAAACAGGTTCAAATGCCCCTTAAATGAGTACTGGAAAAAATACTTCAGTATCCATTCAACATACCTACAGACTTTTGGATGCGGCATTTGCAGGCTAAACTCTGCTGCTGGGAACCAACAAGTTCTGCGGGTGGAAATGAACAAATTAGCAAAAACAACAAGCAGAAAAGTAATTGAATTTCCGCGGTACTAAACCGAAGTGTCCACCTCATTACGCCCCGTTTTTTGCCTTTTAACTCAATTATCGCACTTTGCATCTAATCACCGGTTTCGTAATAAATTACACGTTCATCACACTTCTTCTAATAGATGGTATCCAGCCTAATGATACCTTGTCGCGATGTTTATTTGTGTTTCGTTTGGCTGGAGAGGAGCCAATTTAGTAGAATGTTCCCATATCGAAGCGGTTTACATAATTGAGCTTGGAGGAAAGTGGCGATTTTATTATAAATTATATTATTAGTTTGTGCATTTAATAATGCACTGCTGACCATCACAGTGAATTCGACGAGACTTGCACGGATTGCACTTTGCTGCTGGCTCAGGCGTTTCGTGTTGTTTGTTGCGGAAATACCGAATTACTTGAGGGTTTACTTGGCACAATTGTTTTATTGTCTACACAGAAAAATTTTAAAAATCGCCCACCTCAAGCGAAAATTAGTGGACAGTTGATACTTTGTGTACAGTTTCTAAAGGCTTGCGGCTCTATGCAAGTTAAATTTCAGTTGAATCCGGGAGCTCACTGATTTTTAAGAGCCATCTGAGTATGAGCGTGCGAGATAAGCACCGTGGAGACTTACACAGAAAAATTTAAAAAATCGCCCACCTCAAGCGAAAATTAGTGGAC